TTACTAAACTAGTTGTGTCTTACGGTTTTACCTTGGTTTAGTTTGAATAGTTCGCACTTGATTTATACAATTCATAAAATATTGAAAAGTAAAAGAAGCATCAATAAACAGCTTATAACTATAATTCTTGTACTTTAATCATTTTTTTATCTGAAAAGTTGCCAAGCGAGCAGGCGGTTCACCAGATGTTAAGTGAATACCGCCGCCCATGGATATCTGCTACACCCGAGAGTTGCAGATGCGTTGACAACGTTTTGAAAATTGGTCTCCGGCTACCTCACTCACCAGACGAAACGTGAAAGTATTGGTCATACTTCAACTTTACGCCGGTCTTCTGTGAGTGCTGACCCGGACGAGCCTGCCCATTCGTGTAATAGCCGAGGCTGCTGCGTGGCTCTACCAGTTGAATCATAAAAGAAAACAAGATCAGAGTGGGAATTTATAGAAAGAAATATATAATTAAATGGAACACCTAATTTGTTAAGCTGCCACTGTTTATTATAATGTTAAAATATTTTTAGCTGGATAAAGAATGATTTCTCGGCATTATCGGCGGTATCTTAAAAATATATGTACCTACATTTATAAGGGTTTTAAAAAGTGTTAATTTTTTCGTATTTATAAATTGCTTATGTTATGAGATATCAAGGAAGGTTAGAATACTCCATTTTCCTCTGTATGCATTATGTGATGGTAAGTTTCTTTATCTTTAATAAGATCCCAATTCGTAGGGCCATACGTCGTGTTCTCCCTAAAGTAATAAACTACTTGATATACGCTTTATTGTGTGTCCATTGACTTACGATACGATAGAAAGCTATGTTTTTTTTTAATTCAATACATATTTAATATGAACTGCACTAGCAGATAGCAGTCATAGTCAACGGAAGCTTAGTCGCTTCCGTGGACTATGACGATATACATTAAAACTCTAAAAATAGTTTTGCTTATCAATTTGTAATAAGTTTTTTTTTTAATTAAGTCACTCTTAGTGATTTATCAAATAAAATCAATTACAATGACTTCTCCAGACAATTTTTCGAGGTGGTCATTTCCATCATTTTTATACTTTACATACATGGAAAATTTCATATATGTACATCATAAGAGGTAGATTAACAAAAAATAATAGAGTACTACAACAAAATACATGTTATTTATTTCTCCGACATAGCTAAAAAACATTGGAAATGTGTCCAATTGCGTATACGACATACGTCGAATTTGTAGAACAAATATAAATGGTTGGGGGTAGATCAGGGGTAGATAATTACATTTTTTGATCTTCGGAAACGGGGGATGACTTCAATACTACAGAGGCGTAAGGCGTCTTTGTATTTGACATGTTTCGATAGTGTCAAAGATAATAAATCTTCTTATTACGGTTTAAATACTTTCAATTAAATAGTACCATATCACTACATAGTGTAAAAAAGTCGTCCCGCTGTCTGTCTGTCACTATGTATGCTTATATCTTTAAAACTACGCATCGGATTTTGATGCGGATTTTACAAGATAGAGTGATTCAAGAAGGTTTATATGTATTATATATTATAGTAAAATATCGGTTTATATGCATTGCACCCGTGCGAAACCGGGGCGGGTCGCTAGTTTGAGAATAAATTAACAACGCCACAATGATTACTTATTGCGTCATTATGATTAGCGTATAGCTAAAAGAGGATTACGATTTTTAATAAATACTACTCTAATATATCGTTGCAAAAGATTTAAGAACCTCCAATTATTTGCGTTTCTTTACTTGTTTTAATAAATTTTCTCTATTGCGTGTTATTGCTCGCCGTGTTACAGGCGACACATAAAACAGCTCCAAAAATTGTTACTCTAAACTAAAGCAAAGTCACTACAACAGCAATACGATTACATATAATTTTCTGACTGGCGTAGTTAGTAGATAGTGAAGCTGTCTTTTGCGCCAGATGTGGGATCGATCCACACTACTGGAAAAATATTGTGTGACGAACATAGTGTTTTTCTAGTGTCTAGGTGTTTATATATCTATAAATGTATACATTTGCAAAAGAAAAGTATGTTTAAGTATCAGTTACCTATAGCATAAGCTTTGCTTAGTTTGGGACTAGACGACGCTGTGTATGTCCTGGAATATTGTTCATTTATTTATTATTATTAAATGAAATTAAGATAGAATGCATACTCCAAAACTTATCATCCAAAAACAGTTTAAATTTTAAAAAGTCAGCTTGTATTTCTAAGACTTTATTACACAAGGCTTGAAAGTAATACAGACCAAACAAATAGCTTTTGCGTTTTCATTACCGCATCTACTGAGAGTCTGACGTAAAAACAGACCTATTTATTACATTCTGATTAAGTTTGTCTTTATAATCGGCATTTTATCATTACTTTAAAAAATTAGATCAACATTTAATCTATTTTTAAAATTTTCTTTAAAAATGCGCATTTTAGTTAGTTTTAATTTAAATTAAAATATTAGGTGAGATTATATTATACATTCCTAAACATAAGTAGTAACTATTTAAGCGATAATTGAAGTCTCTGAGAGCGGCTTTAACACTTCTGTAATTAGACAATGTTTCGCCTATCTCTAAATTTAATATTTGAACTTCATATTACTTGAGCATTCTATCATATTTGCTATCGCAGTTGGGGCCTTAAGCTAAAATGGAAGTTGGTTCCCCCGAGAACGCGAAACTTTGATACGCTTCATACATAAGTTGGATGATAAAAAAATTCAAATCGGATGGAAGGCCAGATTAGTTTTTATAATAACCCGAAATTTATAAATACCTTAATGAACTCTTGATAAAACTTTTTGGCCCTGAGCAATTAAAGCATCTATTATTTCTCCACTGTTTCGAATAGCAATTAAAAAAAAACACTGTTGCGGATATAAAAAAAAATCTTTTCTTTATTTAACTGGTGTTCGCTTTCAGTCCGTGGACTGTTAAAAAACATCTTAGAAGCTTTCTTTTTTTTTAATTTACGAGTTAGAATTACTTCTATAAATAGTAATAATACAAATAATCTAATAATACAATAATAATTATTTCTAACATGTGAACTTAAAATTACTTGAGCATTCTATCTATCATATTTGCTATCGCAGTTGGGGCCTTAAGCGAAAAAGAGCCATGATAGCTCATTTTCCAAGCGCTCGCTTTTAATTCCATATACTCGAGCAACCTGACTTCTATCCCCAGGTGCTGGCACTAATGACATTGTTAATTTTGTGCTGAATTTTCACGTGCTCAGTGATGAAGGAAAACATAGGGAGGAAACCTGCATATTTTCGAAAGAATAAAATGAAAAAAATTTTCGAAGATATGTGAAGTCCGCCAATCCGCAGTGGGGCCGCGTGGTGGACTATGCCCTGATACCTGTACAGAGGAGTCCTTTGCCCTGCAGTGGGACATTTATAGGCTGTTACTTTATTTTTTTTACTATATGTGAACTGATTGCGGCTCTAGCCGAGCAACAGCAAGATTGAGATATCTAACTCCTCTACCCTGTGAGTATAAATGTTGTGAATTATTCGAAATGCCCTAGTTAATTAGATATAAACATTATATAGTACAGCAATAATGCCATAATATAATAAACCAGAATAAATAGTAAAAGAAACGAAAATCTGACTAATTCATTAAAAGTACTGACAAATACTCAGTTTTTTTTTGGACTCCATATTAAAATTAAATATCCTATTTCACTCCTCCAACTGAGACTAATCTAAGGATAATTCAAATCCGTCAAAAAGTTTTATTTATAAAAATTACCACAGAATACTACACATTATACGTACATGCATACCCTTGCTAAACATTAGTATAGCGTTGGGTAACAAAGAAAACTCCTTATGTATACTCGAAAGTTATGCAATTTTATTTGAACTAGTTTTATTTGAAATCGATCACAAATACTGGAGTAGACCGAAACACGAATCGAAATCCAATTAAGCGACAAAACATACGTGTTATTAAGAACCATTAGCGCTGCATATTAAATGAAAATGTAAAGCGGTCAAATTAAGTCCAAACTTTAAGTAGTTAACTTTTTGTCAACGTTAACTGCTTGAAACTTGTTTTTTTTTTATTTTACCTAATCTACGTAAAAATGTCTATACAATAGAAAACCTAGAATCTGAATATGTCTCAATTTAAGCAAACAGTTAATAGTTCTACACAATTGTTTTACAGATTCTATTGCGTTTAATAGCTTGTTCTTTGACTAGGAATTTAGTAAGTATTCCTCACGAAACTAAAACCAATATGTGAATTCCTAATGTCCGTAAAACATACTCAGAGCAATTTGTTTGAACTTAATATTGTATATATTTAAATAGTGTTATTTAACAATTGAACTTTTTTAATAAAGCTTTTACATCGTGTATTAAAAGAAGATGAAAGTTTTCTAATTTATGACCAACAACGCGTATTACACAAAACATGTATATTTATTAGAGTCCTGTCAGTTATGACGTAATGTGAGTAATTCACCCGTCCCCATTTTTCTTAATCCAATAAGATATTGCGTTCATTCCTATGCCATTTTGTTGAGACCGCTTTGAACAGTAATATTCAATTTTGAAAAGTTATTTATTATAGATGTATTTCTTGACATATTTATATAAGACGTAAATCGCATTATTCCAAAACGGTAGCGTAATTTTTTTTTTATATAAAAAGTCTTTTTGATATTTTAATCTAGTTCAAGGTATCTTATAATAAATATGTTTAACGCTCTCGGAGACCGAGATTTTGACCGTGCTCTCTAGTGATCAGATACTTTTTAATAATACATTTTATTTAATTTAAATACTTCATCTTTATTTGTTACGAACAATCCAATTGATGTTTCTCTTATACTCTAATTAACTAATAATTAGCTTAACTTTCAGTTAAAGAGGAATGTATTATTTTATTTTAGAATTTAAGTTTAATAAAATCAATATCGAAACTTCTACCAATCTTAGTTTTAGCAAGTAATTAGCTAGTACTCACCTAACAGCTTCTTCACTTCTGCCTGACTGATTAGAACATTGAGATGGCCAGTTGCCAATGGCAACGCAAGCCAGATCGTCCATGCAATGAGAAGCCGTCTAGGCGCCATCACGTTTTTTTTTAAATCGTATTTTTCACTTTCTAGTCATTTCAATTTCACTTTAATTATCATGATTAATCATGTGGTATCCATCCTTATTAACGGAACCGTTAACAATGTGTTTTGTATTTTGTTTGATTTCTTAAAATCCGATAAACATAATAATAAAAAGTTTGAAAGTAAAAAGGATTATTTTTAAAAAATTTTAATCCAAACTTCCCCAATCGCTGAATTCAAAAACAAAAGTTAACACGTAAGCAAAGAAATATTTCTGCTTTAATTCGTACTTTTAAATAATTATATGAAAGGACCAAATCGAAAATATTAATCGAGCCCGATCGCAATTTAACCGCCAACCCGTCTTCCAATTGAAAATCGGATTTCGAAAACCCCTCGAATCGTTTCGAAAATGGCGGGACACGCGTCAGGCGTCCGCGTCGCCGCGCCGCACTGCCGTCCGTTCGGATACACTCCGCGGACCAACAAGTTATTTGCCGTCATGCGCACTCCGCATCAACCCTAACGTAACTTTTAAAGTTTACAACCGACAGGATTTTATTTTTAACCTCCTGAAATCATACTTTGCACATAATAATCATAAATGTTGAAAAAATTACTCAAACAACACACACAAAATCTAATAAATCTAACTTATTTATTCAAAACTTACACAAATTGCACAATTAAGTTAATACATGAACGTTGTGTAGTGGAAACACACTATATTAAAAAATATATTAAAACAAAGGTAACTTTAAGGTAGAGCACTTTATATAAGATACACAAAGTTTTTTTACGAAATATTGGTGAACATAAAGGCGGACAGAGATATTATGTAAGTATTTTGAGTAGTAATTTGAGTGCCTAAGTTTCGGTGCGCTAGGGTCATAACTACATGGTATTTGTATATAATATCATTGTCCTCAATACAAAAATGCATTACCTGACAAAAAGCGACTGACTGACTGACTGACGTGCTAGGCAAGGCGGTAAAGTCTTTATGAAAGGAATGACATTTTGCAATGAATCTATTTATGTAGGTACCATAAATCTGTACAGATAAATAATTTAAAGAAGAATAATATAGACTAGGCTGGCTAACAGACTAAATGGTTCTGTTTTTACGTAATTAATTTTAATTGCAGAAAATATTAATCATCTACAATCGTTTCACTAAAATGTTATACACTAATATAACCTTATTTTTATATAATTATGTATCATAGGTAAAACAAACCGGGGTACAGAGAATGTAATGTAGCTATACCAATGGAAAGAAACCAGATATAAGGAGTGTATAGGGCAGCTATATCAATGAAAATGTCTTAAAAAATTAAAAGGCTTTCATCGAGAGCGACCTGTGTTGTAAGAGGAATTAATTGAGTTTGTCTCAAGGGAGAGGCGTTTCCGTTTTGCATTAGGCCAGTTCACGGCCCGCTAATGGAGTTACATTCTCTTTTATAAAGTTCTGAAGGTCTAAAATTAGTTTTTGCCCGTATCTTGAAGCGGTGAGCAAATTGTGAGATGTTCAAAAAGGCTTGATTTATTTAAGCCCGAGGCATTCGACAATTTACTTTCCTATTTGTTGTTAACGACATATTTAACAAAGGTATTTGGTAATAACTTAAAACATAATTTTTTTAAAATTAATGTTGCAAATGTAAACGATTGATCAATGCATCCATCGATGTAACATTTTATATTTAAATGAAATAGTTGTCGTTCAATTTCCAAGCATTTCGCTTCCTCTTATAATCACTACTTTTAAAATACTTATAAAAATGCTGAAAATAGCCTATTATCTCCACCAATGGCCCTATATTAAATCAAAAATTTCCCTTATTTAGAATCTAAGATATTTTTATGTCAGTCTGAGTATGCTGCGAAATCGTTGAAATAATACATATTGCAGCTGTCTGCATAACAATTATCATCATTTGCATTATGTATTCCCAGACATCGTCTGGGATGCTCCTACAAGCATTCAGAAATGCGCTCTTGTGGAAAAATCTAGAAACTCACACGCGCGTGGAGTATGCACGACGTAGCGAACTTTCCGCTTATTCCTTTTTCAAATTTTTTGAAAAACGAAAGTCGAATGAATAATGAAGTTGTTACAGTGCCGTCTTTTCAATTAATTTTTGATAAAATGCAGGATACAATGTTATTTCAATATATTGTTCAAGCTGATAGTTTATAATTTAGAATAATATTTCTTCGAATTTGATATGGGCGATATGAAGCATTATAATAACGACTTACAGTGTTTTTTTTTATATTTATATGTTTACATTACAGTTTACTCAATAACGACTGGTTGTCAGCAACTCGCATGTTCATATTTTCCAAAACAGCGCAATTTCCCATCCAAATATTTTCTACGCGCGAAATACATTTTGCGTCGGCTTGCGCAAAAATGAAACAAGCACAATATTGCACGGAATAACGTTTGCAAAAGCAAATTGCTCAGGTTTGTGGCTTTGTTTTGTTCAATATGAACGCCATTTTTTGTTCGCGTGGACTATAATCGGGATGTATCGTGGAATTGGCGTGAATCTCTGTCGCAAATGTACACGCATGTAATTTAAATAGTGCTTAAAATATTAACGCCATTACAAACTGGATTACCCGATGGCTTTATTTTATACAGCGTACTGTTTGCGCTTCATTTAAATTTTCATCCAGTTTTCCGCTCTATCATCTAGTACGTTTTTTGTTATAAAACCCAAATGGTTTTTACCATGCAAAAAATTATGATACCATGATCAACTTCAATGTATGCCTATTTTTACTTGATTAAAATTTACTTGTTTTATAAACTCTTTTCTCTCAATACAAAACGGGCACCTAAACATAAAGCGGTCTTTACTAACGCGTTGACCTGCCGAACTAGGAATCTAGACGTAATATATCAAAGGTCCATAAACTAATACTTGTACACAGTTTTTGTACTGGACCAAGATTTTCTAGACGGAACCAGCTCCTTGATAGCGCTAACAAGTCCTAGGCCTTCTGAGCCATGAAGCATTGGCTGCAACCTTTCACAATTAACGCAATATTTTGCTAGCTTTCATCTCTGTACTAACCATTTTCGGGACGCCTATACAGCAGTTAGCATTCCTTTAAAACTGTCAGGGAAATAAGATAATTCAATAATTAAACTTTCGGGAATTCACGCCACTAACAAAGGCAGTAAAAAGATATTCAGCCAAAAATTTAAATTTATAACCTAATTCTTTAAACAGCATATTTTTATAATGGGCCAGTTACATGTTCAAATAATTGAAATAATTTTCAAATAGTATCGGTATTTTTCGAGGAGGAAAATAAAACCGTTTTCTTATTAATTTGAATTATTTATGAATCACCGTGTAGGTGACAGATTTATTATGACTCACTCATGTCAGCATACTCACTCTGCGTGCGTATTAATCTTTAGGCAATCGAAAAATATTGATTCATAAACGAGTCGTCTGCAGTCCATTCATATGGGCATATGATCGGAGGTTTGCTTTACTTACAAGCTCGAGGCGTCTGCTCAGTTTGAGCAAACATTAAGCGATCTGTTACAATATCGGACGGGTTGTTCGCTATGTATTTTATGATAATCTCGGGATTACGACGAATCTCTCTCCTCGGACGTACATATGTAAGGACTTGATCCTTGCATCCGCGCCAAGCGATTATTATATCTTGACGTGATATTTGCAAACATAACCAAAAGTTATTTTAGTCGTTTGTGCTACTTTTATGTCATACAAATGTATCTGATATGTCTTATGATTCACTACATCACATTTATGCCTTAGTGACAAGGCTAATCACTATTACTATTTACATAATTTCAAATTAGAGGAATAGGCCTTTGCGTATTTTAGATTATCCATATACTATACCTCAATAATAATAAAGAATATTTAACCAACATTACATTATTTATGTTGGTGATAGAACAATTAATTTGTACGTGATGTTGGTACTTTTTATCGAGATTTCGCATAAATAAACAGATCGCTAATGAAATATGTGTATGTTAGCGCTCATCCCAACAACGTAATGGCGAACCACACACGGGCGCTTCGAACACAAACAGAGATCGTAAATTTAATTTAATCATAGAATCGAATCAAATTTACGCCCTCCCATCACTGGAGGCCTAGACGCGTAAATATTATTCGAATTCGCTGATATCGCAATCCAAATACATTATCTCATATTTCGGGCTGTGGCCCGGGCAAATATTGGCCGTTGAAGCCCCAAATCTCCTGTTACCCGGATACTTAGAGCGAGTCTCGAGTTTCCCGGGTAAACGCATTTTATGAACGCCCTCTATAGCACAACTTTGTTTTGACAAGAATAATGCTATAACATTACTAGTAAGTAAGACCAGTCCTCGTTTTTTAAGTTTCACACAAGAAAAATACAATAGCTTATTGTTAACATTTAGCCATATAATTAAATTTTCACTATTTTTTATCTAACCGTTTGCTCAAAAATGTTCGATGAAACCATGTCGAAAAACTATTTCAAAATTCTCAAAGAAACTATTTCAGTAAATATCATTAAAAACTGCTCTGCCATTACATTAAGAGATAAAGAAACACAAACTTTAGCAATTACAGCATACGATATTATTTCTGCCTGTTAATCTTCCAACTGACCGTTGGCAAATAAGCAGCTTAACGCTGTTAATCAGGGCAGTTCTTGCGACAAAATAAATGGTCAAATAATTATAAATCCCATTTGATATTCTGTTTAGAGCGGGGCGCCACCGCAAAATGCAATCTGAATTAGGAAACCGCCAGGTGTGGCGGTGACGGGGGACCACCGCTATGCGGTGGTCTATGCTACTCGTAGCGATTTAAGCGTTTAAAATATTGTAACTAACAGGAAAATGAAACTTAAAGTTTAATAAATATTAAATTTATTAACTCACTAAAATCTAGAAACTTTTTTACTCTCGAGTATATTTGGAACGGAAATGTTCAATTTGTGTTGCTATCGTAAGA